GACGCGACAATATGGAGAAACTGATCGGGTACGGCATTCAGTAACTTCCGTACGAGAATGGAATCTTCATATCTCTGTCCCAAGCTTGCTGCTTTATTCATAATACCCGTTAATTTTGAAGTGAATGAATCAATCGATTCATTTTCTTTCATCTGTAACATCTCAAATTCCATCTTGAGAGTTTGTAATCTTGCCTTTTGGACACTGCTGACACCAACGTGTCTTGTTTTCAGTGCATCACAAACTGCCTTTGTAGTTTTGTATTTTGAGATGAGAAGCAGTTGATCTTCTGGTAGCGATTAATAGAGATACGCGATAACGGTCTTACCCTTTTTCTCATCGGGGTTTGTTGATGATTGTGGTTCAATTGCTTCCCAAAGGCTATTTGCTTCCAATATAATTTGCATTCGAATTGCCCAAGTTGTGTAATTTGTTGAATTCAACATTGGACACTGAAAATGGGTACTATGACTCATTTCTTTGCAAATTTTGGAATTTTCTCCATGTTCCTTATTTTCTTTTCTCGTCATAATTTCGTATATAAAAAAAATATTCCTTAAAGATTTTATTTAAAAACTTAGCAAATATTCCTTTATAAAATTTTATATAAAACTTTACAAAATTGAATAAAATTTTCTTTTTAAATGACAATAAAAATAATAAAATAAGTATTTTTTTAAAGAAATTTGTAAAGAAAATGTTTAAAATCAAAGGAAACGTCAGTTTCCTAAAAATGGGAATTAGGTTTTCTTTTTTTTTTAAAGGGAAAGGAAAGAAAAGAGGAGGCGTACACCTTTTGTGTGTGTTGTTTCCTTTGTAAAAAACTTGAAACCCTTCTGGTTCTTTTCGAACGACGGTTCCTTTGCGGTTTCCTTCTCCGACTTGATTTTTGGTTCGATTTTGCTTGAACAATTGATCTTCTATTGATTGCTCTTAAGGCTCGATGCTTCCTGCGTTTGTGCCTGACGATCGATTGAACAAACGATCTCTTATTGTTGTTCTGGATGGCAACGCTTACTGCGTTTTTGTGCCCTAGATCGATTGAACAAAAATCGGTTTCCTACCGATTGTTCTTGTTGGCGACGCTTGCTGCGTTTTCTGCCTTGATCGATTGTTCTTGTTGGCAACGCTTGCTGCATTTTCTGCCTGCAATGATCGTCGTTCTGACCGATTTAGTTCCCACGACTAGATGCCTTCTGCTCTCGGGCCTTGGATCGATGCTCTTTCTGACCAATTTGAATCTCCGGTTGTCTTCTCCGGTTCCGATTAAGGTATGTAAATACATTTTCCGTTGGGTGCCAGTCGGTGGTAAAACTCCTTCTGGTGTTTGGCCGCCCTAGGTATCCTTGAGATTCTGATTAACCCCAAATGAACAACTGTGATGGTGGTTGATCGTAAATCTCCGGCGTTTTGGTGACTCTCTTGATTCCTAATCGTATATGGTAGATGGTGAGAAGACTTTGGTTGAACAAACCCAAAGCTCTGATACCAAATGTTGGATCGATTTGCTAAAACAACCAAAGTTTATTTGATAATCTGATAATTCACACTATGAAAAGTGTGTAAAATTTACATATTTATAGACACTGAAAAGGTGCCATCGAACCATCACACCCTTTCGTGAATAGTCGCACCTCTTCGTGGATAACTACCAATAACTTCCTAATAACTACCTATATATACATATACTATTTAAATGCTTACAACGAGATTAATCTAACAGTTTTTAGACGATCAGAGGTGGTTGAGCAAGCTTTTAGGATTTGATGTTGAGATCCAATATAAGCTCGCAGTTCAAATCGGGTGGCCGACGTGTTGTCTAGGGAATTTTCAACTGAGAAGGAGTTGGGAACAATTACTTATTCATGGTCGGTAGATATGACCAAATTGGGAAAGGAAACACGAGCAGACCCGTTTATTCAGCGGGTAATTCAGGACATTACAGAAGATGGAAAGTCGCATGTGGTGTATACAGTCGAGCAAGGTCTCCTTTTGTTCGTTGGTGATTCCCCATAACTCCACTTATTCCTAAGTTGTTCCAAGAATACCAAGATTCGATCATTCAGGGCACTCGGGGGAATTCAAAACATATCAGTGCCTAGTTCCGAATGGTTTTGGGTGGGAATGTGACGCTCAGTGCAGACGTAAGCTTGTAGGGTGTGCCAACAACAAAAAGCGGATACGACTCAACCAGCAGGGTTGTTACGACCTCTGCCTATACCCTCTCAGGTTTGGGAAGACTTAACGATGGATTTCATTCTAATGGGTTCGATACCGTGTTAGTGGTGGTGGATCGTTTCCCGAAGTTTGCTCATTTTTACCCTTGAAACACCCTTTTAGTGCAAGTTCAGTAGCATCCTAGTTCGTTTCCACAGTTTCCCATCGACTATCGTCGACAAGGCCTTTACGAGTAACTTTTGGCAAGAATTGTTCCGACTACAAGGGACCACTCTCTTACTTAGTACCGCATACCACCCCCAATCTGATGGGCAGTCGGAGATTGTTAAAAAGGTGGTGGAGACGTATCTTCGGTGTTTTATTCAAGGATATCCATGCAAATGGGTGACGTGGGCAGAATTTTGGCACAAGACGTATCTAAGTGCACCCCGTTCAAAACACTTTATGGGAGGGATCCCCCTGGTACGAACACAACCAGGCAGGCAGCACAGGAGTGTCTTCCTTAGAGGACCAGCTGTTGGAGCGTGATGTTATTTTGGATGACTTACGCGCGTATCTATTACGGGCTCAGCAACACATGAGGTTGACTGCTGATAAATCTCATAGACCGGTTACATTTGAGGTGGGGCATTGGGTCTATATAAAGTTACAATCGTATCACCAAAAGTCCATTTCTACTCGACCTTTCCGAAAGCTGCCAGCCTGTTTGTATGGTCCCTTCCGGATTATTCTACCCATTGGGGCCATGACTTATAAGCTCCAATTTCCGGAGACGGCTCGAATTCACCCCTTGTTCCATGTTTCATAGCTGTTGGACCTACCCCTTCATCACCATTGCTTCCCCCGCAACTCAATGAGGAACTGGAATAGGAGGTTGAAACGGAGACCTTATTGGGTGTACGAACCATTGGTCAATCAGAGGGCCAACAGATAGGGCTGGCAATGGGTAAGGGTAAACCTATTACCCGTTGGATAAGGGTATGGATAAAGAAGTGATCCTAGCCCTTCATACGGTCAAGATCGGATTTAACTGTTCAAAAATTGAGGCTTTAACTTCTCAAAATTTGTGGCTATGCAAAAAATAGAGTGGTAGTTTCGTAACTTTTACAAATAGGCGGCAAACGGGTTCATATGTGAACCCTTGCGATTCACATATGAACTATATGTTCATATGTGAACCCGTGTAATTCATATATGAACTATTTTAACTGATTTACATATGAACTAATTAACTGATTCACATATGAACTGATTCACATATGAATATATAGTTCATATATGAATCACACGGGTTTACATATGAACCCTTTGTCGCCTATTTGTAAAAGTTACGAACTACCCCTCTATCTTCCACATACTCATGTGAGTAATTATCCGATGCTTCACAATCAAAACCGCAAATGTTGACCAAATGAAGGGCTAGGATCACTTTTTTACTTCTCAAATGAACCTTTCCCTATATCTATACTATCGTATTAAGCATATTCATCAAAAGTCTTAAAGTCTTAAAATTTTAAATGACCAAGATACCCTTTTCACTTTTTCACTCATTCCTTTCCTCACATACACTCACCCCTCACATACATTCACCTCTCACATTCAACGGATTTTTTTTTAAATTATAATTTTAAATTTACATTTTATATCCCTATAATTAGTTAATTAATTATTTTATGTTATTTACTTTTAAATTTTTCATTTTAAACCTTTATCAAATTAACATACATAATCGTATATCAAATAAAACATGTTTAAAAAAATATATTTTTATTTTAACAAGTTACACCATTATAATCATCTTGTTAATACCTTCGAAATGAGTACAATATTGAATAGTTTTTTATTTAATTATATTATTATATATTATATATACTGTGAAAAAATATTTTTAATGTTTACGATTTATACTTTTATAGTTATTTATTTATATATATGCTATACATTTTGGGATTAGGCTGTCCAAATTGCACTGTATAATATGTTCTTGGGTTTTTTTTTAAATATATATATATATACATGTATTAATTCAACCTTAATCTGAGTTTCTGGATAAGAAAGAGGGTAAGCAGTTGAAATTTCATTCTAAAACCCATCTTTTTTTGTCTTTTCATGGCTTATAATCTGTCAAATTTGTAGTTTTCTTTATTGGTTTTGAGTGTTTATCTTAAAACTCAAGTTTTTTGGTTCTTTGTTCTTGGTGTAAATCGAATATATTTGTGGATTCGTTTAAATATGTTGAATTTTAAATATATTGGATTTTAAACTATCATACAATTTTTTTCATCGATAGTCTGTAATTGGAACCATAACTCTTATTTATTCAAATTGTATTAATATGTAAAGACCAAGTGTAACCTATATCATCGTTAAATCTTGTCTTATAAAACCAGTGAAACTTCAAAATTGTTAAAATTCATGGCTCCCGCCGCATTGCGCGGGTACACAACTAGTATATACACACACATACATATAATTATGTAAAGTTAAATATTAATATATCTTTTTGAATGTTATCTTATATGTTGTATAACGTATATTAATTGATATTTTATTTTTCTTTACATATTCATCAACTAAAATAATTAATTAGGATGATCAAATGGGAAATAATATGGGGACGATAAAATAAATATAACAAACATAAATGTTGTCTTTAGATTTTATATTGTTGTGTAAAATATCAATTATAACATATTTAAAGCAATATCACAATGTTTATTGGAACAAATTAAATACAAAATAAAGATTATATTTATGAACTTATATGTTGATGTTTAACAAATTAAATATTATTATATTTATAAACATAACCCTTTGTGATCTGTTTGTTCATAGATTGAGTATTTGATTCATAACACTAGCAAATACCAATAAACAGATAATTGGATGAAATATGCAGAAAGTGAGAGTCATTTATAAACAAGATAGCAATATTTGTAGAATCATAAGATGATGTTTACTTGGAGATAACTTTCATGAATCTGTTGAGTGATTTAAAGATTCCTACTGCTTGACTAAACAATGATGGACCCTGCTCCGAATCATCTCCACCTCCTCCAAATATTATCTAAGAAAGAACAACCAAAAATCAATCCAAACCAAACCAAATCCGGTAGAGAACTAAAACTGGAATTACTGACCTCAATGTCTTCAGAGTCGGGACGGCTTATCATTTCCTTGCCTAGTATGTAACGGTTTGGTCTATCTTTGTCATCAAAGAACACCTTCCATAAGCTGCTTGCAGGTTAAAATAAAGAATGTGTTAGCGATTAATTAGTACAAATTAACTAAAAAAAATGGGGAATAGATTCATCAAAATTACCCGGGATAGCATCTAAATACAGCGCCTGTAGGTAGAGGTTTCATGGAATAAACGGTTGTAAAAGATCTGCAAGATGAAATTGTTTTGTGTTTGGTAGATATGTTGAATTATTTGGTACTGAATGATTTGATTTAGTTACCTTAAAAAGTATCTTCTCAACTTTCGGACATTGAATCCAACACCAACGTCCTCGCTGATAAGACGTGGGTTCCACATGATGAGTGGTCGTGGCTAGATAACATAACGTAATAATTAGAAGAATAAAAATATGAGTTTCCATTTTCAAAGGTGATGAAGGATTACGGGTTCATCTGATAGATGAGAGGCGATCCGCTCTACATATTCCAACATCTGATAATCTGGCAGTACCATCACAACAATCTCATCATCTTTTTCCACAGGCTTTCGGTCACTTAAGCTGATGGATACAAACTAAGTTCAGAAACCAGTAATAACCTAATCAAACCATGAGTTGTAAACTTGATATCACGTGAGACCAGGCTGTTTTCATAGTGTCTTTTATGTGAAGGTTTGGAGTTTTTTTTACTTTCACAATATTTTGCTGTGACGTTTCAAGTGTTATTTTGTGATATCACAAAAACAGGCTGGTCTCACATGAACCCAACACATGAATTGTAATATAATAAACTAACCTAGCGAAACCGAAAGTGGCATCATTCCAATTATACTTGAGAAGTGCAGCAGCACCGGCATCAGGAAATATTGCTTTCACCCTCTAATCATGACCATCACTTAATTCACAACAGAAAAATAACTAGTTCCATCTACATCCATATACATGAGAAAAAGAAGTAGTAACCTGACATCCCGTTTCTTCGATCAGTGCATCCACAAAAATTCTTGATAATTCCCACAGTTCAGCCTGGGCACCTTCATCATCAAGAAACTGCAACTGTGGGATTAAGAGCTCCACCTGCACAAACACAACACACAACCACAGATTTTGAAATTCTAACCATTCATTCTACTTGTCTTTAGCTTCAAAAAATCATCATACTTCCCCCCAACACACACACACAAACATTATATTTGGAACATTTTTGCTCCAACTTCTGCATCTACGACGTAAGGCCGATATGAAACTTGTTATTATTGTATGATGAGATTGGATATAACTTCTGTAGTAGTAATATCGACTTTGTAGTACATACGATGGCTCTCATCCCTCCTGAGGACACAAATGCAGCACTTGCTTCACTTGACTGTCGAACTGCACCCTCCAAATCCGAAGGCAAGCAACTGAAACACATTTCTTAATTTGAACAACAAAATGACATGCCAACCATTTCCACTAGTATCAAAAGATCAGAATTCTATTTTGATATGTTTGTATTTGAAAATACGAACGAAAATTTTGTCAATTCAATTACAGACCACACACACACATGAATCAAATGCATGATGTTGATGAAAACCGGAATTTTTCACAGTAACAGTTGGTAAAAGTGGGCAATCTTATATGTCATCTCAATTTTCTTATCTCTTTTCATAAATTTCAGATTAAGGTATTGGATATAGGGCTGGTAATTGTGATTTACACCAATCTGTCCCCAATATTTATCATGAATTCAATCAAGTATTTAGAAACTAGCAAATACCTAAGTTTAGCTTAAAATTTCGTCAAAAAAAGGAACAATTTAACTCAAAATTTGTTAGAAAATTCATGGGAGAAGGCATCGAAATTCACCTGTCATCTTCTTCTTCTTCTTCTTCTTCTTCTTCTACATCCCCTTGTTGAAGTGTTTGTTGTAGTGAAAGTGATGGTGTTTCTTCATTTGAAGTTTGTGCTTCAAACTTATCAAACTTAGCATATATTCTGGAGTCAAATGAAGGTCTTAGGAGTGAAACTCCACTGTGCCCACAAGATTCAGAAGGATGCAGAGATGATGGGAAGCAGGTGTAAGAGGGTAATTTGGGGATGGATGCAGAAGAAGAACAACAGCAGAGGTTTGAATAATATGAGGAAGCCATTGATTACAGAGGAGATAAGCGTGGCAAGGTTCTGGTGCAAAGCATCATCCAATGGGTCTGTTGAATTAGATACTGCCACGCCTCCTCCAACCTCAATTTTCTAAGAGTTTCTATCCTCTGTTCATCACAAATAGCCATTTTATAAATCGCTTGTACTCATAGAAACAAAGTTATAAAAAGTTTTACCTAGGAAAAGATTTTCGGTAATAATAAAGTTTTTAAAAAAGTTAAATTAATCTAACTTATAATAAGTTGATAAGAACTTTTATAAAAAAAACTTAAATTGTTTTAAATAAACAATCTCAAACACCTCCAAGTAAAAAAAAAAAAGACTTTTACGTAAAATATGGATTTTTTTTACGTAAAGTTTCTTTTTTTGCATAAACTCCCTCATTTTTTTCCATATAGTTCCATTTGTAAATTATTTTACCCTTGTTTTCCCCTGAAAATCTTTTGTCTGTGTAAATTTTTTTTTTTTTAAACTTTGACTATTTTATAAAATGGTTAAAAAGTAAAAATCATTTTATAAGATGACTATTTGCGTAAATTTCCCTTCATGTTTTAAAATACCTCTTTAATTTTGTAATACATTCATGGGTTCTAGGGAGATTTAAAGTTACGGTGAAGAAGATTTTTATTTTTGGATCAATCTTAATCAAAGAGTTTTACTAAATCAACATAAAATGAGAAGTATCGAATCAATTTCTTTCTAAAATACAATTCATGGATTGGTTTGAGATTAAAAGTGATTAAGGGTCCAAATCATTTCTTACACTTCTCACCTTAATTTTTATTCTCACACAATCCTAGGGCTGTAAACGAACCGAACGAACACGAACGGTAAACGAACGAAAATCTTTGTGTTCGTTTTCGTTCGTTTAGAAATAAAGTTTGTTCGTGTTCGTTTATGTCCGTTTGTTAACATGCTAAACGAACGGGCTAAATGAACGGGCTAAACGAACAGTTAAACGAATATAAATAAATATTATTTGAATTCAAAGTAAATAAATAAAATATTATATATTAAATTTAATATATAAATGAACATAAACGAACGAATATGAACGAACATAAATGAACGAACGAGACTCTTGTTCATATTCGTTCGTTTAACTAAACGAACAAAAAAAATTATTCATGTTCGTTCATTTGTTAAATAAACGAACATAAACGAACTTCTCACCAAACGATTCGCTGAACGATCGGTTCGTTTACAGCCCTACACAATCCAATCGTCCGTTTATCAACCCCTTACTAGGTAAGTACTTATCGGCAAAGTTATCACATTTACTTATCTTATTGGGTAACTTTTTCAGTCATCCAATATGAATTATGGTAAATGTCTTTTACTCAATAAATATTTATTATGTAAGATTCTTCTTTCTAACTTATCGGGTAATATTTATGTTCTTTGTCATGCTTTTTCCAGATAAGATTTTTGAACCTTGTCATGCTCACTGATATGGTAAATGGCGTCCACTTAATAAGAGTTTATTAATCGCACTTTATTATCTAAAGCACCCTTGTCTTTTCTTTCAAAATACTCCAAATCTTGATGAAAATAAATCCAATAGTAATCGTACAAATTTAAAAAAAAAAAAAAAAGGGTTATAATTCGTTTGATTCATTTTTCGTCCTTGTACTTTATCGGTTGTAACGGGATTTCTTTCTAAAATTATTTTATTCTAAATTTGTCTCAATTTTGAATTTTGTTTTTCCTAAGGTTAAAAAATTCCGTTAAATGGGATGGTGAGAAAATGAAGGTCAACTAATTTAGACTGTTTGTTTTTTCTAATTTTTTAAGATTTTTTATCATTTATTTCCCTCTAATAAAATAATAGGTAAACTTATCCTTTATTTACCTCTTATTGTTCTCTAGAACTATTGACGAAAATAAACCATATCGAACGAATCCTATAAATTACAAAAAGAATCACGATTCCCAATTTCATCCACCCAGAGGGAAACATGTGTTCGTCTCAGATTGGTTTCTATCTACTTTCTTATTATCGATTAACAATTTCTCTAAGCTTGATTGTTGATTTTTCGTGAATTTCATTGATCTGGTCTGGACTATATAAATCTCGGGTTTTCATGATCGTTAGTTTTTGCTACATGTAAATCTATTGAACCTTTCATTACCATTTTTACGTATACGTTTGTTTTGTATTACCTAAGTTAGTTGCTGATGATTTATGTTGACACAGTTTCAATTATGTTATTTTATCTTTTGCCAATTTCAAGATTTTTGTAAGACAATTTCAATTATTTTTGCTAATGAAAAGCTAAGTTGTCATGAGCTTAATGTCTCCCACTGAAAGTTATACAGATGAAAATCTATAAGTATAGACATCGCAAACAATTTTCTTTTGTTTTCAATAAGTTGCTTGAAACAAACTCTTATACAAAATGAACTTTTTCACAAGTTTGAATGTATGGTGGATTTAGAAACCGATAAAATTTAGAATTGGTTTCAAAAAGATGCCAAAAAAAACTCTTAGATAGATTCAGATATTTATCTGTTTATAAAAACAAACAGTTTTATTGGTTTTGCTTTTAGACTTCAATATCACCTCTTATAAGTCAGAAGAGAAATAAAACTTCAGACTTCACCACCTCTTGAAAAACAAACATTATCTAAGGTTTTTCAGAAACATGAGGTTCAGACCTGGAATAGAAAAATTCAGTGACGAATCTCATTAAAGCTTAGAACGTTTGTGGACGGGAAAACGTAATTTACTACAATGGATATTGAATTCCCAAATTTTAGCATAGATCTCAAAACCATAAACAACTTTAAATAAAATCATCTCGATCCTAGATATAAGTAAAAAGTAATAATCTCTCGAACTGTTAATCTTAGTCCGTCAATAGCTTGAGTGGTCCTTTAACTTTTATTTTTAGATTGGAAAAAGTTATAAAAAAAAAAACCTAACAAATTTTTTGAATAGTTTAGCTGTATGAAAAAACCATTAAACTTTTTCATTTTGATTGAATAAATCCTCAAACATTTTTTAATAAATAAATCATCGTACTTTAAAAAATGGTTACCTACATTCTTTTAACCCAAAAAAATTTATATTAACCAACTAGTAAAATTTTGATGTTTTTTTTTTTAAACAATTCAGAGTTTTAATAATTCAAAATGTGAAATTTTAATGATTTTTTCACTCAAAAAAATAGTTCAAGGACTCAATCATTTAAAAAAATGGTTCTTTAGAGACTAAATCATTGAAATAAGAAAATTTATTTAGTTTTTTTTTTAATTTTCAATAATTAATGTTAGATAGGTTAAATGTAGGATTCAATATATTGTTCAATTTTCACTAAATATGTTAATGCTCGATTACATCAATTCATTTCAAAGTTTATTGATAAAAAACCGCTACAATTAACGCACAACCTATTCGAGAAGCTTTGCTTGATGCAAACAATGAGCATCAAGAGTCATCCTCAACTTTTTATTATTGAACAGTAAACGCTAAGAAATAAAAAGGTATTTCTATTAAAATAATTATTTTTCTACTAAAAGAATACTTGCATAATGCAGTGAAATATATTTCAATTTTAAATTTTTTTTTTTATCTTTGTTAGATATTATAACATGGGTTTATGTGGTTTTGAACAAGCAATAAAGTTTTTTTTAAATATAAATTTGAGGATATCATAAAAATTAAAAAAAATAAATAAAAGTTCTCATTTTTTGTGTAAATTCTTTAATTCAGGTTTAATGACGAAGTAATTTTGTTTTTAGTGTAATATTATAATTTTTATAAAAATAATAACTAAGTATTTTATTATAACTCAATAATTATCTTAATTATATTTTAAATATATTTAAAATGAGAATTTTACCCTATTTATCTACAATTAGTTACACAAATTCAAATATAAAGTTTAATAAGTTATACTTATGCACAATTTACCTGTAATCTTGAATTTTAAGTAATATACATCAATAAACAATACTTCATATATAAAAAATGATTTTTAGAAGTTTTTGTCAAATGTTTTATAATATAATATAAATTAGTTGGTTCTTTATGCTAAAGATGTAATGTCCCATATTCGAGTCTTTTTATAGCTTTTTATCCCAATTTTTAAGAAATACATAACAAACCCAAAAATAAAAGCTAGAAAAGTAGGAAAATTTTGGTAAACAAAACAATATAGTAGCGCTTTTACCAGAACATAATATATTCTCCATGGCCCATGTCATCATATGCACTTAAGTAGACCTGAACATAACTCAAAGATTATATACATTAAACAAAATTACTTAAAAACAATGGAAATTTTATTTAGATTTAGATTTAGATATATGTATATGCATATGCATATAGAAAAGAAAAGAGTGGGAAGATGGCAGAGTAATAGAAGAAGAGTGGGCTATATGAGTTATACAAATCACAACTGAAATATGAAACACATATAGGAATGAATGAAAGCTGCCATTTTCAAACACTATTTTGAAAATATGCTTATTCTCCTTTCAATCCCCATTACACAAAACACACTCATTTTCCTGGAGACGCAAATCTCGACTTATCTCTCGCTCGATTTGATCCTCTATCTATCGGTGATGACGTCTTTCCTCCAACACCTACTTGCCGCATCATCTCTGTGCACACCAAAACCATCATTAACTTTCTTTCCATTTCTATTCTATGTAACCTACTTTCAAGACCTTTATTTTTGTACCTCGTAAGCCACATCTAAAACAATTAGGTGCATGGTTTACGTCTGAGACGCGTGAAAATGCAACCCACTTTAGTTTGATTCCTAGTTTCTGTCTAAATGTTTTGAGATATCACATATGAAGTACCCAAGGTGAAGAAGGTTTCAAAAGTATATTACACAAAATAGAAATCAAACCACATTTTCATGCCATCTGCCTTTTTTATAACATTAAAATCATACCTCGTTTTCTCTCAAGCTCTTGGTCGAGCTCCTCCTTCCACTTTCTCTGTACTTCGGAGAAGTTCACACTGCAAATACCACATCTAACTTCAGCAAATGCGAGCATAAACACGTAAAAACTGAAGAGATAAACCATTTCCATAAAACCCCCCGGCTTGTTTAAAAACTGAGAAGATGATATATGCCATATACGAACCCAGGACTAGTTGCTTCTTGTTGAGATTCCGCCCCAATCATATCATTGCACTGTGGTGATGGAAGGTCCATCGGACTATGAGCACTTTCTTCACCACTCACATTCGACGTGCGTCGGCTTCCACTCCCAGGGCTTGCATTACTTGCAGCATCAACTGCTTTATAGGGAGTACCAAGTGGGAATCGATTAGGAGACCTGCTTTTTGGTGGCAGTTTCAAGTAATTAGGACCACCTCCATTGCCTGCCACTTCAACGTTGTCCATGGAGCAGGAAGGAACCACGCTGTTGTAGAACTCTTCGTATAAAGGTGTTTGAAGTCTTTTCAGTTCTAATGCCTGAAGTCATATAAAAACAACGATGTAACGATATCTAAACTCTAAATGAATATGTATTCATATCAATTAATTGGTAAAAAAGCTCATAAAGGTCCATTTACAGAATTTTCGTGATTAGTGCACCCATTGTATTAACCATGTAAAAACAGTACCTTCTCATCCAGAAAAGCTCTTATTTTAGATTCGGTAAGCTCGTCGTCGTCCTCAGATAGGGATCGGCCAAATTGAAATGAAGTACAGCTGTCAGTAGGAGATTTGATCATGTTACCCACAAGTCCATCTAAATGTTGTTCATTGTCCAAGGTTGCTCCCCCTTGCAGTCCGTAAGCATCATCAACAGAAGGTTCTTCCACAGGGTTCAAACTCTGATTACCAAATGTATACGTAAATACATTTAGTTTCTTAAGGTCCTTTGCCAAATGGTAAAAAAAAAATATCAGACAGAAATGAAAGAAAAAAAATCCACCTTATTGAAGTCATCAAGCATTGAAACAGATCTCAACTTTACTCCTTCACCCTCCATAAAATCATCTCCGTCTATCTGACACATGTCATTATCACTGTTTTCTGCTCCCCACTCATGTTTACTTTCTTTAAATTTCCCAGAATTTACAGTAGAGAAGTTTAGAGTACCCAGATTACATACATCAAGGGAACCAGGGCTGATTGTCATTTAAGTAGGAAAAACAAAATTAATGTTGCATCCCATCATCACTATTCTTAATAATCATTAGCAGAAATGCTATCTTATTTCCTCGGTTCCAAAATAAATGCAACATTTTATTTCTTGACAAAGTTTCAATGTCTGCCCATCTGTGTAACCCGTTACAGAAAATTGACAGCATCAACTTTGCTCCACAAAATTCGTCTATTTCTCGTCATTGATAATACTTAGATACCAATAGTCATATACCTTACCTGAACTGTTTTACCCAGTCAAAGATTGCATTTATTTTGGGATGGATGTAGTATATCTAAAAGCACCATATTAATATACTCACGAATGATCCAAAGTGTTTGTGCAGGAAGAGGAAGGAGCTTCAATATTTTCCTGAAGACAGTACGATAAAATGCAATGAAATGATATGATGGGTGGAGGACTATTAAAAAAAATGCATATGCCACAGAGCCAAATAACTAACCATTGTAGAAGTAGCAATAAATGAATCATGCTGAGATTTCCCGGTAACAAAAGGATGCTGAAAGCCAAAATACAGATATATTAAACAACAAAAGTTGAGACTTCAGACAAATTACAGGTTCAAAACTAAAATCACCTGAAGTAAATCTGAAGCAGATGGCCTCAGCTCAGGTTCCCTGAAATATAACCAAATTAGCGTGACTGGAAGCAGATGAAAAAACAAATCAACCAAAAACATAAGTAAAAAAGACAAAAGAAAAGGAATGTGTTTACAATTTCATACAATAAATGTACAACAAAAAAGGTGAATGTGATAAAGAGGAGCTTGAGTATTCATGATTCAAATGCTAATACACCATCAAAGTGCCAATATCTTGTACATACTTGTGTAAGCATTTCAGCAGTAAATCTTGTGCCTCAAGAGAGAGATGCTCAGGAATAGGAGGATGAGACTTTGTAGTACCGATATAAAAGAGAGCCGCAACCTGAAATGAAGATAAAGTTATATATGGCATGGGCAATGAATGACCATAACTTGCAAAATAAGTACTCAAATGTCAAATCTAAGACATTCAGAAAAAGGTAACTACCTCTTGGTATTGTTGGCTCCAGGGAGGCTTCCCCGTCGCCATCTCAATCACCGTACACCCGACACTCCATATGTCAGCAGAGCTAAAGATAATAGAAGAGAAAAAAGTCTGAGACGACTAACATCCAAGTGAATAGTTTATAAACACAATTTTCGAGATGCATAGATGATGGTTAAGAAACTGAAGGAAAAAGAAATGCAAAATGAGGAAGGGCAAGAGAAGCAACTTAATTAGTCACTGTACAAAACCAGTAATAGCCACAATTAAGGAACATAAAGCAAAAAAAAGTCATTGAGAACTAGAACAACCAACAACTAACCGCAAACCTAAATAATATGTTGTGATCTATAAAACAAAAGCATGAGAAGAACATAGTTAAGGCTTTGTTGTATCTAAAAAATCTTTTCTAGACATGATTCATCTCTTTATGCAAGACAAATTGCTAGAAGAAGGTTGTTATGAAAATTGCTTCTCCAGTCAAGTCCTATTTGTTTCCAGAGGGAAACACACAAATATCTTATACATTTATTTTTGAAAGGAAGTTTCTCTCTTGGTTTTCAAGCCTTGATGTTTCCACAGTAATTTGTTATCTCCCATATTGTAGGGTACTAATACAATGCTAACGCCATGAAGGTATGTTCTTCCTCAGCAGCTTCACCAGCCCCCCTGGCCCTTCACTCATATCCTTGGACAAAAAATCCCCTTCATCCTTGAAAACTGTAGCATACACACCACAAAACCTAGCAAGCAGAAGGTGCCTTGAAATGAACTGCTATCAAGCATATCTTCGTTCCAGTCAGACAATAGATTATAAGTGTTTATATATTGTAGAATAAGTTCTCAGAATCACCATAGATTATACAATATTTATACTTAATTTAATAATAAATAAATGACACACTCGTTAAAAATTATAGTAAGGATTATATCTGATTATACTAAAAGTGGGGTAACTATTCAAAGAATATGAAAAATAGACAAAATTATGAGCTAGGGAGTAGGGAGTTAGCAGTACCAACCCCTATTCTAACAAACATAACGAAAATGGTAGTAAACTCCCCCGATTTATTGTTAGATTTATGTTCCTGTTATTTTAATTCCAATTCTTTTCAACACTCTTCAAAACTTCTTTTTACTAAAAGCAAAGCTTTTTGACTACCTCAATTCCTTGTAAAGACGATCTTACCTTATCTTGTACTATGTTTTGGACTTAATTTGATTTGTCATGCACATCAACACACAACAACATCATAGAACAAAGCTATACTTCTAGATTTACTCAATAAGCAAATGAACATGATGTCAGTAACGACCAAAGATGGTAGGCAGCTGCAATAATAATATCTAAAAAACGACAAAAACAAATATACATTAACCGGAACTACACTATTAATGTTATAACATATAATTTCAGTGCTTCAACATTGATTAACATGCCACAAAAGTCATAAGAGAAAATTGATGCAGACTTAATTGCATTCGAGGAGCATACCAGAAAACGCTACTAACGAACAAACAAATATTGTTCTATGTAACTTGGTTAAAGAAAAAGGTACTCCACCTTTTCCAAACACCAGATTAGAGATCTAAGTATCCTTTGGTTTTTACGTTCAGGGAACATATGTTACAATCATAACCGAAAAAAATTATGCTCAAACTTTGAAAACTAAAATCATTATTCAACACAGAGAACCCACTCTAGTAGTGCGTCCTCTATCATCATTTTCGTTTATGATGTCCTTAAGAAAACATCTTCCTAAAAAAGAGAAGCATATATTGATACCCTCTCTCAAAGATAGAAACTTTGGATACAAGAAAAGAGCATGGTAGAAGAATTTCCAAGAAGCATGCGCATGCAATGGCAGAAATTGCTGAAACGTTTCTCACATATGTATAACACGTGGTTAAATAAGCTTCTGTGAGATGTGTATGGAGTCAAATGAGAAATTATTGGACGTATGGGAGCAATTGCTCAACTTTTTCATGATGTGAAATATAATTAACTCCACAATACAAAACACTTCTCTAACTTTTTGCACCATAAGTAAGCTACCCCTAGCTTACCACATTTTATACTATGTAACATGGCACTTAGGAGCACAGTTTAAAATGAGCCACATCTGATGACACATTCTAAACTCTTTGGACTCTCTTAATTGCCATTAACTGTTGCAACTCAATACCAATAACTAAAGACAAAGGAAGTATTACAGGATATGAACATGTCTAGTATAAATCACAAGTTAGTGAACTAAGTATGAATCTTGAAAAACAAAAACAAAACAGGAACAGAAAAAAAAACAATAATTACCACAAACTTTAGCATATTTGCATCAAGAGTAGGAGTGTGTAAGTTTTAGGTCTATATAGTGACTTCCACTGAAAACACAAGAATTCAGTTGTAAAGATGGTAAATATGTATATACTTACAAGCTATGACCAGTCTGAAGTATAACTTCAGGAGCCATCCAATATGGTGTTCCCTTCATTGACTTGGCACCTGATCCATTAGCCTGACCAAAATTTAGTTTTAAATTAAATATCATAGTTGCCTAATGTCTATAAATAAATAAATAAAGGTGAGGCAGATGATGGGCTTACCAGCTCAACAACTTGCTTTGATGCACCAAAATCAGCTAGTTTAATGCATCCTTTATTGTCAACAAGGATGTTTGCCCCCTGAACATGAAATAATATTTATACTTCATTACAATATAGTGAACAGAAAAAAGGAAATAAGACAGAAGATACACCTTAATATCCCTGTGCATAATGCCATTCTTGTGCAAGTAATCAAGCCCCAATAACAATTGTTTTGTGTACATTCGTATGACCTGCTTGAAAATAGATAATCTAGCATATAAGAGGATACTTGAAGGAATCAAAAAATATAACCCCAAAAATTAAAAATTACATACCGCTTCAGGGAAGGGTCCAAATTTCCCTAAAAGAGATGAGATTGATCCTCCAGGAACGAATTCCAAAAGAATATTTAAGGTTTCCTCCTCTCGTACTGTTCCTAGATATCTCTGAAGTACCAAGAAGTAACAACATTAGCTTGATAAAGAACCAGCATGTCCTAGAAACTAAATGAGATTGCACTTACAACAATATTTGGATGAGAAAGATTCCTAAGAAGCTTTACTTCTTCTTCGAGCTCCCTTATGTGAACCTACTTGTACATTTAAATGAACTAAGTAAGCACTAACAGAAGATTTAATAACTTGTAACAAAGTGACAAAAAGAAGTGATCAGCACTGGTGAAAATTGCCAATTTTACTTGACAAGTAAATCCAAAGTAATTTATTCTACCAAACATGTGCCATATGTACAGAGATGGAGAGAAGGGTGCAAACTATATGAAAGTGCATTAACAATATCTTGCATAAGATAAAGGTAGAAAACATCAACAAATTATGAAAATATTTCTTGCGGGGTGGAAGTCACAGAGTTATTGTCAGAACCTATAAGTTTTGCCAATTAAAGCCTAATAAATGCATCTACATTCATGGATCATCAGCTCTTCTATATTGTAATTCCCGTTCACATGGCATTCTCTGTTGTCTGGATCTCGTCATCTCATGAACAAAAGGGCACACACGGACTCAGATCAAACATAATGATGATCAGATCAGTAGAATGGGTGTTGCATCTTACTATTACTAACCCCTCCATCTTAAAGTAGATGACAAAGTACCATCTATTCAGGGATTTAAGTAGCATGTATTGGTGTCTGAAATAAGACTTGATCAATGAAGTATTCAGATGCTTATAATGTGTGCTACATTGATTCCATTATATTACTTGAGGTAAACAGCCAGATTGCGTATCCAAACTATCAGACTAGTTTTAAGAAGGAAAAAAAGATACATGTTATACTGTTAAATGCAAATAAACATAGCGTCCAAACCTGAGTCTTCTCCTTTGAAGCACCGTTGGCAGCAATTGAAACCTGAAAACAGAATAATCGAGATCAAAACTCAAACCAGAGTCGAAAAACCAAAAAGGCGGCAAATGAGATCAAAACTTAAACCTGTTTAACAGCAAGAAGCTCTCCAGAATCGAGATTCATGCCCATATACACATGGCCAAACGCCCCGCACCCGATCAATTCACCCTTACGCCACCGGATAGTAGGCACTTGTGCATCATTCTCTTTGACCACCTTCGGGGGTGAAGACAGAAATGAAGAAGGTCTAGAGAAAACTCTGGACTTGCGGATACATGAATTGATTTTGTCGACTAGGGTTYCGGGAKCGRCGCTRTCTRCAGCACGAAAAACCAGAGATCGCCGGACTGATCCGAACATGTCGTGCATTTCTAGTGGTATCAGATTAGAAGCTTATTAGGGTTTATGGATTCATCACAGTTCGTAGTTGAAGAGAGAGAGTGTGTGTGTGTGGGGATGAGATGTGGGGAAAGGAGGGAAATATGATACCCGTTCCCTTTTTTTCAAAAACCTTTACCGACTAAATTCCCAACTTTCAGATACACCTCCTTTCTTTTGACTATTGTTGACTTCCAAAGATAAGAAGTGCAAAATTACAAAATAAAGTCGTTTACCTAAATGCTTACCAGATAAACGTTTACTGTTAGGAATTAATATTTTAATTTATTTTACCGGATAAGATTGTAGTACATCAAAATGGTATTGTATGCAACAATTTACCCGGTAAGCACTTACTCGGGTAAGAGTCATCACCCTCAGTTACCGATAGACTCTTTGTATTTATCATTGTTCTTATCGAGTAAGACTTTTGACCCTTGTCATGTTCATCCAGTAAGAAAAGTTGCCCCGTAAGCACTATCAGGTAAAACTTTAGTTGGAATTGACCAGATACAATTGGATCGGAACGAGTTGAAAATTTCACCATCCAATTTGGATCAGTCGATTCTTGGATGACAATCTAGAACCAACCAACATCCGATTGCCCATCCGTTACCATCCATTTATTCAGCCCAACATTATCCAATTATCATCCAATTAATTCGTTTTCAATTTGCTTAAATCAGAACATGTTTTGTATTGGTTTTTGAATTTTTTAGGCATCACTCGTGTTGGTTTTAACACATATTAAAACTGATTAATCACTTTGTTTAATTGTTGAAAAATTGAATTGGATTAACACTTGGGATGGATTTGATCCAATTAGATAATCTATTGGATGTTGGATGGATCTAATCCAATCCAATCCAATTAATATGGGATGGATCCAATGGATAAAAGCTAACTGATAGATAGTCCAATGTTAATAATATTGGATCGGTTCGGTTCCCTCACCTTCAATGGATATCAACCGATGAACAAACCAAGTTGAAACCCTTATACTATGAGGATGTTTAGTTATCCAATACCGCTAGGCCAAAGACCTCTTGATAAAATATCTATATTTGATGGGAACTCAGTATCCAATAGGTTTGATCGAGAAATTCTTGAGTTGATCAGGACGAGGATAGGGAATTCATGAATGTGGAAACTGGGACAAGGATGGGGAACCTTTCGTGTCCCTAAATTTGAACCTAACAAATTATATATGTATTTTAAGTAAAAATGTTAAAAAGAAGTTTAATCATTAGGTGACCTTTGGTTTTCATAATGGAATTTGTCCAGATTGAAATCTGTCAAAAGAATTGGAATATGAAGCAACTAGAATGAAATTTAATCAGGTTTGACCATTTGTTTGGTTGACAGAAATTATAATGAACTATATTAAAATAATTGAAATTTGTCTGTTTGTTTTGCTAAATATAATTTTTGAGTTTAATAAAATCATGATAAATGCCAAAAATACCCTAGTATGATATTTTCATATTTTTTTACTTAAATTATAAATACTATATAATGATTAAAAAATTAATAATAAAATTAATTGATGGTGATGGTGGTGTAGGCAACACTGGTGATGGTGGTTGCGACAATAGTGATGGTAATGACTGTGGTGTGGGATTGAATGGATTAGTGTTAATATATAGACATAAAATAGTCTTTCTCAAAAGATGAGATAAAAAGGAATTGGAATTACTTAGGGGCCGTTTACCTAAACACTTATTCGGTAAACACTTATCGGTAAAATTCAACACTATCGCTTACTTACCGAATAAGATTTTACTCACTAAAACGCATCGTATGCAACAATTTATCCCGGTAAGCGATAACCATGGTAAGAGTCCCTGTCCTCACTTACCGAGTAAGACCTTCGATTTTTGCCTTCGCTCTTACCGGATAAGATTATTAACCTTTGTCATATTCATTCGGTAAAGAAAGTAACTTGGTAATTGCTTACCCGGATAAGCGTTTGGTAAACGGCCCCTTAGTAAGCCCAAGGAATTAGAATTTCGTCTTAGGTTGAGTTGGAATTCCATACTAAAACTCAAAAAATGACGTAAACGAAAAAATGAAATTTAGTTATGGAATTAGCCATTCAAATTCCTTTTGTTTCCATCAGATTATGACGAATTAGACGTCAACTTAAATCTTTCACACTTTCCATAATTTACTTCCTACCTTTTGCAACAGCAACAGCAACAGCAACAACGACAACAACAAATGATCCCTCCCTCACGAGTCACAACTCACCTCTTAAGAAACACACATGTTCTCTCCCTCTCTCCCCTCTCTATAAAACACTTCCCCTCTTGTTTGATTATGTGTAAATGCTTTTTTTCTTGCTTAATATCTCTAGTTAATGATGTATGGGTTGTTTAGAAGCGGAAAATGGGTTGGATGAAATACATGCCTTATTCAGTAAGCAATATATGGTTGTTTGGGTGTGACCTGATGGTTGATTATGTACTAGCTAATGTATGCTTAATTCATTAAGCCATCCATCTTTTTTTCCTACTTTTTCACGTTTCAAGCTCCATTAAAAAATGATAACACCAAGTAAAGGTGACGACCCCTCTCAAACAAGTGAAAAAAATTAAATCGTCGCCGCCTCCGCAAGTAGTTTAACCCTTGTGCACCCTTTCTCTAGTGTATACTTGTTTCCATTCTTAAGTTGCACCTTTTTTGTTTGTATATATGATTTGTTTGTAGATTTGGGTTTTTTAACCTAAAGCTTCACCTTCTCTGCTAGAGATGGCCAAAAATCGGTTCCGGGCCGGTCCCAATCGGTCCTAACATTTCTCATAATCGGCCATAACCGGTCTCGGCATAACCGGTCCCGGTCGAAAATGATAGGACTGGTCAAGATACTTCATAACCGGTTATGGGCCGCCGGTCCCGGTCCCGGTCCCGGTCCCAACCGGTCCTTGCATTAAAAAATAAGATTTTTCTTTTGATTTTTTTAATGATATATATTTTTAATACATTATAAAATTTACAATTGGGTCACTCAAATACACTTTAAAAATGTGTTTTAATATAATTAAAATTACGTTTTCTTATAAAAATACATTATAAAATTATTTAAAAATACATTTATTTATAAAATTATTTGAATTTTCAGGCCGGGCTGGGCCGGTCCATAGTCGGTCCCATAATCGGTCCCGGTCGGTCCCGGTCCCATGAAACTACCAAAAACCTCAACCGGTCCCGGTTTTTGGTCCCGTAACCGGTCCTTTGTCGGTCTCGGTCCCGATCCTCCGGCGGTCCCGGGTCGGACCGGGCCGATTTGGCCATCTCTATTCTCTGCTATGATTTTCACATTTGTGTTATTTATTCTTACATTTTTATATTTCAGTGTTTACATTTGCACATATGTTATTTGATGGAAGTATGGAACACAATGGGTGCTAATAGCACATAGTATATGGTTAATTTGCATGATTAAATTGTGAACGAACTAGTATCAAATGTTTAAATTTAATAACTACATCCAAACTTTGATGTTGACCTATTTTAATTACAAGTATTTATTAATGTTCTTATGATTATATCATTAAATTCTTACTGTTATGTTAGATCAAGCTGTTTTTATTTAAAAAAAACTTAAATTGATAATTTTATATCATTAAAAATGGACCATCAATTTTATCAAACCCTTATTTTAATCTATGTTTAATATATACATAGAGCAAAATAATCATTTTTATCTATAAGATTATTTATTCAATACGATAACCAAATAATGATTTAATTTAATATTTTTGAACTTAAGGTGGCGTTTGGTTTGCAAAATGTTTTTGGATGAAATGTAATCTGTTAAAGGAATTTAACTTTGAAGGAATTGAAATGGAATGTTGTCAGGTTTGACCACCTGTTTGGTTGACAGACATTGGAATATAATCTATTAAGGAATTGAAATATGTCTGTTTGGTTCACAGAATGCAGCTATAGAATTGAAATAAAATATTTGTAAATGACCAAAATGCCCTTTTTTGAATTTTTTTTAAAACTAAAAATACTTTAATAAAATAATTATTTAATATGTAAAACATATTACGAATAATAATATGCACCGAACTACAGCTCATAACTAAATTAGATTAAATTCAAATATTGTTGTAGTCAATGGTAGTTAATAGGTTTCCTTGTATAGTCCTATAATTGCTCCTGTAATTTTGTATACCTCTAATATATATATTGATGAATAATAGTGAAGGCAATTATCAAAAAGCCTTTTACATTCAAACTCCTTTCATGGTATCAGAGCTTTCTAACTCGGAAGAGTATATCGATCCTCCATTTGTTTTCTCATCTTCTTCTAACTCATTCCCATGACAACCTCACAAACCATAATTCCCATCACCACTGCAACCCACTTTCCCACCAAACTTAAGTTCAGTCCACCTTAATCGGACTAGGGCTTGATAACTTTATCATCGATGGCAATGCTCCATCGAAGACTATCAACGACAAGGAGGCCACTAAATCAAACCCGGGATACATCGCCTGGTATTGACAAGATCAAATCTTGTTCAGTGCTATTCTCAGATCATGCTCCAATGAGATTCAACCAGTTATTGCATCGGCATTGACTGCTAAAGAGGCATGGGATCGTCTCACATCCAACTTTGCAAGCAAATCTCGATCCAGAATTATCTCCCTTAAATCAAAACTTACACAGAACCCAAAGGGAAATCGCTCAGTTGCGGTTTTCTTGAATGAAATATGATCTATTGCGGATGAATTGGCGTTGGTTCAGAGTCCAATTCATGAAGAAGATCTTCTTGTTCATATCCTTACCCAACTTGGTGAGGAATACAACTCCATCACTGCTGCTCTTAAGGTACGAGAACAACCGATTTCTTACCCGGAACTCTTTGATAAACTCGTTGATTTTGAACGGTCCCTTAAAGAAGTCGAACCTGTCGCTCCTCAAATTGTTACTGCTAATGCCTCGCAATGGCAACCTGGTCGTTCCCAATTCGATCTACGACTGATCAGTCCACCT